AACACGTAGAAATACGGGCTCTTATAGAACATGCGAACGTAGAATGGAAAATACTAACACCGTTAATATATGGATTTTTTATGCACTTCACCTGTGTTATCTTATACGCTGTGATATTCGTGACTGTAGATCCTGATTACAAATTTTTTCTGACGATTCTTTGTTTTGGTTTTCTGGCAGGTTGTCTTGCGATAAGTAAAGTGTTGTCAACATTTGTGTCGTCGGTAAGTATTAACCTCATAACAAAAATAGGTTTATATTTTTCATTTCATAAATTTAAAATAAACATTTTTATTTCGAAATAAAGTTCGAAGGTAACCACTGCTGAACAGTTCGAATTGTTATAAAGCATATAATGAAATGAAATTAAAAAAAATTAATGAATGTATTATTTTTGTGATGATTTTGTGTCCATGATTTTGTGTCCATATACAAACTTTCATCTGCAGATCTACCATTAGAGTTCAAACTGAAGGTAAGTGTAAATTGTATTTTAGAATTAGTAATCGATTTAGTATATCGATTTAGTATATTTTTTTATAAAGTTTACAATATGTTGAGAAAAAGAATTTATGGAAAATGTCTGTAATCCTTGTTACATCACATTTGTATAAACGGAATTATACAATAACAATGTTGTACATTATTCCTATTAAGCTTTCAAAAAAATTTTAAATGCTATTTGTAAGATTCAGGAAAAGTGCTAAAAATGAACGTTGAGATATTTTTCTGTTAAATGGTGAAGGCTGCAAAGGATTTTTTTCCACTACATCCGATTGTGGTGGATTCAGATCGCGAAATATAGTCGGAACTTTCTCTTCACGTAATCTCTTTAAGAATAGTAAGCTTACTAAGAAAATGAAATTGAAAATCGAATAAAATTCAATTTTTAATTTTCACCACAATTAATCTATGTTAGAATAGTTTGAATATTTGAAAAAAATTGAAAATTATGAATATATAAAGTGACTTTTCAAATTTAGCTGAACGATTTTATGAAAAGATTTGGAAAAATTCCTTTGGGCTTTTCTATTGGCGGTTTCTTCTATATAAAAGAAGACTTTTTTTATCAAGGTATGTAAAACTATTATTTAAATTTTCAGCTGTGTAATTGCATTTGTCAATTGTGAATATTTTGCAGATGGTCAGCGGATTGTATTCTATATTTTCCACAATCCTCGATTTAACAGGAGTGATGGAAAAAGAAAAGAAATGTGCAGAAGTTTTTATTAAACTCGCAGACAAAAATAGTACTTTAATATTATAAATTTAATCTTAATTAATTTACGGCCCAACAGTGGTCAAGCGGTTCTGTTCACTAAACACTAGAAGTTCGGTCGCGTCTCCCCAGGACGGGCTGGCTACGTGAAGTTTTCCGGGTTTTCTCCCAGTCTGTAACGCCTGAATAGGGGCCAGTTATTCTTAAAAAAAACCTCCCGGAAGGCACCCTTTTAAGCAGATCGTCTAAGCGCTGCGTTGTTATATCTTAATAAAAACAGATAATTAATCTACTGTTTTCACAACACTTTAAATCACTTCTTATCTTTTTTTATATATATTCAAGTATAATAAATACAATTATTATTTACTTTCTGTAATTTAGTAACAACTATAATATTTTTCACGAAAATAATTAATTTGTTTATGTTTTTAGATGAAAACAAAAAATGTATATATTTATGGATATAAAAACACTTGTAGTGCTGCATGAAAATGCATAAAATAAAATGTGTAACTAAAATATTAATTATATGCTTTATAATATTGTGATATATTATTTTTATGTATATTTAATTTCAATATAAAGAAAATAAAGTAATACACTAAAGCACGTTTCTGTTTCTACTAATAAATATAGAGAAAAACTATTTTTTAACAGTGGTTTCGCGAAAAACATCAGTCGTTCTATGTTTAAAAGCATTTATTACCCGATAATTTTTAACGTCACCAAAATAATATATAGGCACTGCTGAACCGATAGGGCTTTTATTACTTATTCTGTGATTATTTGCATTTGTTTAACAGTGTTCTAACACATTTCACTGGAAAATTGAATGTATTTAAATACAAAATATTCGTGTGTAGTAAAATTTAACTTTAAAATTCACAACTAATATTTGACAAATACGATATGTTTTTAAAACAGTATCTACTTACACTTTATTTATTCTGTTATTATATGCAGCAAATAACATTATATGTATAAAAATATATGAATTTATAAAAGCAATAATAATTATAAAATATATAGCTCTCCCTTAATAGTCCGACAGGTATGGAACAAGGGGTGTTGGGTAATCAAAAGTGTCCGGATTACCGAAAATAATTACATATTTTGCATTGTTTTGCTAGCAGTAACTTACAATATTCCCTACTCCAACTGTTCAAACAGAACTGCTCACAGAAAACACACGAAATGTGTGTCGTCGTGTAAAAATTGGATCGGAAGATTCACGTCGCGACATGCTTCTGTACAAGCAGAGTCTGCTTAGCAGACACGTAACGGGACGAGTACCTTGACGGGAGGTGCGTCGGACTGCTGATCATGTCGGATTAAAAAACGTCGGATTATTAAGGGAAAGCTATATTTGTTAAATTTCAGTTTAAGTTCTTTATATAAAAGCAATTTTGTTTCTAATAAAAGAAAACATCAACTAGAAGAAAAATAATTTTATGTTGTCTTCTAAGCAAGTAATCATTTATTATATGTAATATTACAATTTGCGAAAATTTTCATAATAATTAATAAATATTAATACTAATTTAATATAAATAAGACGTTTTTGAAAAATAAGCTATTAGAGAATATTTATTATGATAATCCCGTCGTCAGGTCGAAAAACTAATCAGCAGCATTGTATATTAACATTCGAAAATATTTATTTCTAGTAAATTTTTAATGAAATATTATTCCTATTAAATAGAATTGGAGTAAAATATGATTAAAAATTTGACGCTTAATTTTACGATAAAAAATATCGGAAAAAATGAAGTTTCTTACATCTAGAATTACAGACGGCGTTACTGGGTTTATTCAAATTTGAAAAACCTTCCGTTACAACCCAATCGTTAAATTGTTCCGAGGAAAAATGGAAGAAAAGTTCTCGGCCATTCAAAGGTAAAACTTTATAATCAGTCCGTCCGGCGCTGTTTTAATTATTGATTAAAGGACTATGGAACAAGTTGGTTGTTGCAATAGAGAATTGTTTGATACGCCTACAGAAATATTTCCAAAAATTTATAAAAATTTGTAACGGGTTTAAATGCGGATTGTTTTCTTAACTAAATTATTATTTTACAGTTTATTTTAATGATTTCCGCATATTTCAGTATAAAGTTATTAGCCTGCAATATGAAAAGAATTGAAGACCTATAAATACCAACTGTCGTCCGTCAATTCTTTCTTAATATCGAGAACGGAGTTAGATGAAAGACGAGAGCAGATATGGTATCCTTAGAAGAGGTTGACTCTAAGGATTACCTGTACATGAAATTCCGCTGCAAACCGGAAGTTACGCTATTTTGATTCAAAAGTTTTCCCCCGAAAGCAGTTATAGATAATCGGCACGACTCTATTGTTAAAAGAAAAGAATGATGTACGGGGGCACTGCTAATTGCAGGTGAGCGTATATTTTAAATGTAGTAAATTATCAATACGATTAAAAACTGCAGCCCGGCATTGTGACCGTGTCATAGTAAATCAACCATCATTATTAATCATTTTAAATAATTATAGTATAAAAGTGTTCATTCCTTTTCAATAATATTCGAATGAAATATTTTTCTAATTTCAATTGTAAATTTCAAAAAAAAAACAGACATGAAAACAATTGGAATTTAAATATTAGATGGTGACACTTATTTTTTTTCAGAAAATTGACAGTTCTACTGAGAAAAGTAGCAATTGCCAATTGAGATAGAGAAGTCGTAAATTGTATCTTAATTAATTATTGAATGGATTCTAACTTCTTTCCTGATGAATCAAATCTTTTTGAAGGAATCGTGAAAGATTTGATTCATTTACGTGCCGTCTTTGGTTCTGTCAGAACTGAAAAGAAAAGAAGAAACAACAATAAATAGCTTTAACCTTTAACACTTCGCTCGTTACTACTGACGTCTTTTCGTTGTCTTTCGTGTAGAGAAAAGTCGAGGATAGTTTTATTTTACACTCTGTTGATACCTCACAATTCTTTGCGTATGTGAAGACAGAGTGACGGTTCTGTTGTATTTTCTTCCGTACGACAAAATGAACAGAAGCTTGTGGAATTCTCATGCAGAAATGGATTTGTCTTTTATCATTTCTTTGATAGTCGTCACTTTAGTTCACATTCAAAAAATTAAAGTAATGATTTATAGTGCTGATCTGAAGAAAATCTCGTTCTCGATTACCTTAGAAAGAAAAAAAGGAAGAAGATTTCCTAAGTCGCTTTAAGACGATTTCTCGGGTAACATTTCTTTATCTATCGAATGGCCCTAGAGTTTGGTTTTTGAAATGTGCTAACAGGTATTGAAAGTGCTTTACGTTTTTCTGTTGAATGAAGTTTCTTGACTTTTTGTAAAGAATCGTAAGTACATCTTTCATTTTTTCTTACGCATTGTTAAAATTACAATTTTTAGGAAAAGGTAAGAAATGGTTGTTTTTAAAATTTCAAATTTTTCAAAGCTGTGACATATGAAAATAAAAGGAAAGGATCTTCGTAAAATACAGTATTATATGAACTACTTGTTTTTGAACATAGCAGATAAAACTATTTTAAATATCTTATTAATATTAATCAATGCATTTCACAGGTATAAGTATTTCTGTTTAAGAAAATTAACTTAAAAACGTTTATTTTTCAGATCTTGAACCCATCTTGAATTCTGTGGCGCGACATTTGCAAGAAAGAATTTCTAAAATTAGTTAATTTGAAATATTTCATTTGTTTTATGAAATAATGCATGACGTCATTCTCGTATCTGATTTCATTCAAACCTTTATTTTCAGATTCACGATTAAGCAATAAAGAGAAGAGAAACAAATGAAGAATTGTTTCCAGGAAAAAGTATGAGTCGAGGAATGCGTTTTACTTCTGTTTACAGAAAACTTAATTTAAGGCAGTGATAAGAAATTATACGAGAATATGAAAAAAGGAAGAATATATATCAAGCAAATGAAGAGAAACAGAAATGAAATGAAGATATTTTAAATAATTTTCAAATATGTTATTTGTTAAAATACACTTCATATAAATTGTTTTGAGATAAATGTATAAATTACATTAATTTGTGATAGCATGTGTATACTGCTGGTAAATATTTGTAAATACTGGCGTATGATATATTGTACAGTTTGTATATTATATATGATATATTGTACAGTTTGTATATTATATATGATATGATATATTGTTTACGTATTATATATATTGTACAGTATTGATATATGGTACAGTTTACGTATGATATATTGTTTGATGTGGGGTGGTCTAGTTAGTTGTAAGGTATCAATTTTCGTTTAAAGAATCTTCCTAAAAAGAAAAATCTTTTCCTATCTGCACACACACTCTAACAATACTTTAAAATCAGCGATTAATTTTAGATATTTACATACTCGAATAGCAATGAAGTGAAGAGTTTCGGTTTTAATGCTCTTATGATATTTTACAGGTTTAAACAATCAGAAGTCAAGAAATGGGAAGAATCGATGTGGCACTTGCGAGAAAGAATTCGTTTCGAAAACTGGGTTAAAATATCATCGAAGGATTCACACTGGAGAGAAACCCTTTGCCTGTGATCATTGCAAACAACGTTTTGCACATAAAGGAGATCTGATTCGACATCTCCGAAGTCACACGGGGGAGAAGCCATTCTCTTGCGACCATTGCAAACGAAGTTTTACGCAACAACCTAATCTGATACGACATCTTCGTCTTCACACCGGAGAGAAACCCTTTGCCTGTGATCATTGCAAACAACGTTTTACACAAAAAGGAAATCTGATTCGACATCTCCGAAGTCACACAGGGGAGAAGCCATTCTCTTGCGACCATTGCAAACGAAGTTTTACGCAAAAATCTGATCTGATAAGACATCTTCGTCTTCACACCGGAGAGAAACCATTTTCGTGTAATCATTGCTCAGAAAAATTTCGTTTTAAACCTTCTTTAAAGTATCATATTATGAAACATCATAATAGTAATGAATAATGACTTTTGTAGAAATGATTTTAGTACATTTCTTCGAAAAATAGGTAATACTCGTATTTTAGATTTTATTGAACATAAAACAAGAAATTTTTAAAGTTTGGTTTTCTTTGTTTTGTAACTTTTATTTTGTGCATAAAACAATTGATTTTATGTACCGAAAAAAAAATGGATTTTAGAATAAATACAAATTTCATTGATTAGAAAGTAATGTGGTTATTTTTACTTGTTTACTTACCTGTCATTTATTTCGGGCGATAACATTCATTTGTGTTATTTACGGAGAATTCGTTTATTGTTAGAAGTGTATTCAGAAACATGACAAGTCGTGCTTGCACGAAGATCAATTGTTGTCACTCGCTTTATTTTCAGATACGAAAGAGATTAGAATAAGTGAATTTTACCGTAAATGTCGTTTTTTTTTAAATCATAAACAGTAAAAAATTTTAATAACGAAAACTTTTCATTTGAAAAATAGACAATTCTGAACGTTGTATACACATCAAAGTGAAATAAATACGAGTTAAACATCGCGGGACATAATTTATTACGTGTCATTTTTATTTGAGATAAATTTACATTATAATTCTTATGACTTTTAATAATATAATACTTTAAACTAGCTTGAAAACGAAACTTTTCTGAGCAATAATTACAGCAGAATGGCTTTTCTCCGGTGTGAAGACGAAGATATCCTATCAGATTTTGTTTACGCGTAAAACTCCGTTTACAATGATCACACGTAAAGGGTTTCTCTCCGGTATGAATCTTGACGTGTTTACTCAAATTGCTGGAATAGTTGAACTGACGATTACCGAATTGGCAAGACAGGAGCCCTTCACCAGTGTGAAACATTCAATGATATCTTAATCCTTTCTTCGAAACGAATTCTTTCTGGCAACTGCCACATCGATACTTTCCATTTCTTGTTTCATTACCAGAGAAATCTGTAAAATATAAATAAAAATATCGAAACTCACGATGTATTATTTCAATTAAATATATAAGAATGTAAACTCGAATGCACTATTTTATAAAGTATTGTTAAAACTTGTGTTTGCAGATAGAAAAGTAAATTGTATTTTTCTCACAAGTTTTCTTTAAACTAAAATTAACGGAATACAATCTATTGCGATTGCCTCACACCACACATACCAACTACTTTCCGGCGCTTACTATTGTTACCAACGATCACAAATTATATAATTTATACATAGAAATATATTTTTTCTAGAAACAATTTATACGAAGAATATTATTAAAAAATTATTGAAAAAAATCTTATAGTATCTTCATTCAATTTCCACTTTTCCTTCATTTGCAAAAAATGTTTTTTTTCTGTATCGTTTTCTCGTATCATTTCTCGCCATTACTTTAATCTTCCGTAAACACGAACTAATTTTTCATTTTACGGGAAACATTCGTCAGTTATTACACGGTGGTTTCTATTGGTCGGCTGTGGATCTGTGGATACAAAGGTTCTCTATGTCATAACATATGAGAAAAATTATTTGTTTCTAAATAAAATTAAATAATTTAAACTTACAGCTTCAGCCTGAAATTCTGTAAGAAGGAACGAATTTAATATAGAAAAATACGTATCAATAAATTTGAAATAAATCGATAAAGTGATATTAAGTACAACCTTCAAAGTAATTTATCGGCGAGGTTCAGAAACAAGTAGATCGATTGTTAATGTGTTTTAGGAAGAAGCTACTTCCCTTTCAGTTACACGTTTTACCACCTTCATTTCAAAATTAAAAGTTATATAAGCAAATGTTTCTTGTAAAATATGTATTTAAATATACCTTCTGAGAAGAAGAAAAAATCTACTTACATTTTCTTTAGACGAAAGTACAATTTTATTTACGGAGTCCCTATAGAGGCACTCTTAAAATCTCGACAGCACGAGTCTTAGAGTAGTTATAGTGGATATGGAAATCGTATAAAATTATAACGTCACATATTATGGTTTCTAGATTAGGTTTAAGCCATTTCACATTTTAGGTAGCGTGTTATAGCCCCCAGAATTAAGTCGCGCCGTTAACACTATGGCGTTTAATTATTTAGTCAACGTAACTATTCCAGCTTCGAGTAGCCCACTTGACTGTTCATGGAGTAGTTGATGTTATATACTGTTTAAATGTGTGGGGGCAAGCCCAAGCGCGCGACTAAATGCGGAGCTCGCTATCGCTAACCTAGATTCCGTAGAACATGGAGAATAGGCAGTGTACTGATACATGTTAAAAACTGACCTTTAGGAAGTGAATACCTCGCGAAGGGTCACACATAGATGTATGGTTCCTTTGACTTTTCTGCTCGCACACAAGAGGTCTTCAATTCGGGGAATCGAAAAACCATTCATTCGGAGCTTGAATCTTATCGAAAAACTGACATTTGTAGTGCGTTCAGTCCCGAAAATTATTCGCAAGAAGTCTGAACTTTGTAAGAGGAAGCTTGTCGACAAGAGTGTTACAAAACGAAAAAATACCTACAAAGTAACTTGAATTTACGAAAAAATCGGCCAAACTATGTCTTTACCGAAGATGAAGAAAAGAAATTAGAAATATGTCAACGGCGAGTGAAATTTCTCTTATTTTGTGAGATTACGAGGGTTCAGGGTCAATACCCTACTTGCCTCTGACACGTCGAGTTGATAAAACTTGCAAACTTTGTCTTTTGTATGGCTTTTTATCGAGGGGCGAGGAGATGAGAAAGTCGGCAGGTGTCCGTGGTTCGAAGTGACAAGAGACGGATTTAACAAATAATAAAATAAAGGTTTATTATAAGGCTAACACTAAAATACAGTAGGCTACATAGAGTTAAATGCATATATCTCTCACATTTTTCCCCCTCTCCAACAGGAGCGAGACATAAACCAAAACCCGCTATGACTCATCTGACATAGAAAACCCCGTCAGTCTTCGAAGTGATCTTTGCCAGAAATTTTAAAATGCATTGAAAATGTCAAATTCGAATCAAAATTTCAATCTGAACAGTCAACTCTGGAATCCATCTAGGGAAGAAATAGGACGTGAGATCAGCGAATATACCAAAAAGCCCCGTAAAATCCACAATTTGAATGCCGGTATATTTACTTTCTGCGCCATCTTGTTTGTGGACCGAATACAAGATGGCGACTGAAAGTACCCCATAGAAGCTCCGTAAGTAAAATTCTATCTTATATTCTATTTGTAAAATGTTATGAGAAATTTCGTCTTTTTTTTGACAAGTTATCCTTCTCCCACTCGTTCTCCCAATGTGATCCCGGACAAAATTTTCTTTCGTGTGAGGGCAAATCGTTGCAGTCCTACACACGAAAAAAGAAAAAAACCCGAAATAATGTTCTGTAAACAGAAATTGATTGATTAAAAGAACTAAATCTGTTATAAGAGAGCTCACTCTTTTGTCTCCAGTTCAATGCACTAAAAAATGCTCTTTTCACCTTGTCAGAATGGAAAACAAAAGAGAATGTCTTCTCTTTTCTATTATAATGTATAATATGTCAAGGTAATATCTATCAGGATAACATTAAATTAAAATTTTTAAATGATTCATTACCATTCACGGAAGTTAATTACGCCCTTGCGTTGATCATCGGCGATAGATTGTGGACTCCAACGGACAGAAAAGTACAACCTTCCATATCGACTTTTCTCTGTAACCAGAGAACTAAAGTACGTCACTAGTAACGAGCTAAGAGTTAAGTGCGATACTTATTCATCGTCCATTTTCTCTTCTTTTTTTCCATTCCATCGAAGTAAGGATGAACAGGTTTCCTCTCGAACCTTCCCTGAAAAATTTTGCTTTCCAGAAAACAACTTTAAATGTATTGAATAGTTGCGATGAAAACATACTTTGCCGTTTCTATACTTCTAAGCTGCACTCGTTACACTTCCATGCAACAACCGTCAATTTAAAAATTAGAATAAGTGTTGCCATCTAATATTTAAATTTCGAAAAGATACAAATTTTTATTTTCCGAAATTTATAAAAGTAAAAGTAATAAAAAAATCTGTGGTTGCAATTTTATTAATTAATTAATTAAATGAAATAAATACTTTCGAAAGTGTTATAAATAAATGATTTTGAATTCAAAAGACGGAAACGATCAAACGAATGGCCGAAGATGAAGTACGAATTGACCGAGAAGAACAATCTACATTTGAATCTGTTCTCCATTTATATAATTTATTAATTACGAATTATTCTATTCAACCCTCTCCATTTTAAAATCGGGCGGGTCGATCTGGTTAGAAATTAGCAATACCAGTTGGACCTACTCCGAATGTTACGCAGCCCGCGCTTTGCTACGGTCAGTTTTATTTAAGGATACACTGGTAAACATTTATATTATTCTACTCTTATTTGGTTTTAACTTCCCAGCATTTTGCCTCGGCTTCAATTAAGTCGCATTCTTGAATGGGATCTCGGGATGGCGGGTGTTGTCCAAACACTTTCCATTTTTCAAGTAATGGGACACGGAGCGTCGTCGTACGGGATGTTGCGGTATTTTTTGTAACTACCGATCTAGGAGGTTTATAAGGTTCTGTAATTCTTCTTCCAATTCATTACTGAGGACATCAAAAATCATGAGATTGCAAATTCTTCCGTGCTCTTCAATATCTAAATTTTACGTATTGATGAAACGAGTCCGATCGGGATAACACTTCCGTTTTAGACGGTTTAATGAAAGGTTTTTCTGTACCCGACTTGATAAATTCGAAGTGTTACGTCTGCACGGTAAATTCTTTCATTTAAAAACGATAGAATTATTATAAACACCGATCACATTACCACACATCCGGGTATTAAATAATCTTAAACCGCATGCAATTTCTCAAATGTCAAAGATATCGGACTTCCCGTTTTAGAAATCGAACAGTTCATAATTAATAAATTACAAAAATGGAGAACGGTTTAAACGTGGATTTTCTGGTCACTTAGTTTACATTTTACCACTGTTTGTGACTATTGGGTTCAAAATAATTATTTATAATGGTTTCGACAGAACTCATTTTTAACATCATTTCAATGAAAGATTATTTTTGAAGTTTAGATCCACAAATTTTGAAAAAATGAATAAATTAAAAATTTTTGAATTTTAAATATTAGATGGCGCCACTCTTTTTTTGAAAATTGACAGTTAGCTTGCATCTAAGTCCGGTAAGTGTAACTTTGGATTAGAGAAATGCTAAAGTACGTTTTATCCTAAATACCGAATAGATTGAAAATTGTTTTCTGATGAGCTAAATCTTTAAGGAAGAAATCAAAGGAAACGTGCCATTTGGTGTCCGTTTTTCTCCATCGTCTTGGGATCGGTTCGCACTTCGTCACTACAGAAAAGGAAGCGACAATGAATATGTATAGTGGGCTACACTTCGCCCAATACTAGTGACGCACTTCCGTTCTGTTTTGGTTACAGAAAAAGTCGACAGAAGTTTTCTTTTACTGTGTTGATAGCCCACAATTTTTTGCGTCTGTAAAGACAGAGGGTGTAGATTGTATTGTCCTTTCAGCCGCACGACGAAACGAATGGAAGCTTAAGGAATTCTCGTCCACACAGGTAAGTGAGTCGTTTCTTCGAACATAAACCGCCGCCATTTTATTTCGATAATCAATAGTTCGGGCGTAGATTTTTTTTAAATTTAACATGATTTACAGTCTTGATGGAAAAAAGAAACCTCGTTGACGATTTCACTAGAAAGAAAAAAGGAAGATTTTTTACAAAGCAGAAGAAGAGATTTCTCGGGTAATATTTGGTGATGTATGGAAAGCCTTAGTGTTTGTGGTAACAAGTATGGTTATTATTTTACGTGTCTTTCTTGACTGAAGTTTATAAAATTAGTATGTAAATTTCTACTTTGTTCCGAAGCTGTTCTTAAAAACAACATTTAAAATAACATTGAGTTTTTATAACTTTTAATTCTTCAATAAAAGCTGTAAAATAGGAAAACCGATAGAAAGTTTATATAGCTATTTGCCATAATATACCAGCAGGGTGTGAAACCCAGCTGGTATATTATGGCAAGAAATGCCCGAAAAATTTCAATTATTACATTAATTTTGATATATTTAAATTTGACTTAGAAAATAATGTATGACGTCATTCTCGTATCCGATTTTATTTGGCACTTTTTATGACTTTCAGGTTCATTAAATAATCAAGAGCATTTTTGTGTACAAAATGAAGAATTCTTTCCGGGAAAACACAAGAAGAGTCGAAGGATGTGTTCGACTTTTGTTGTTAACATTAAAGCCAGTGTTAAGAAATCATACAAGAATACATCAACAAAGAAACCGTCTTTCGTGCAAGTGAAGAAAAAGAGAGAAATCTACGAAGATATTTTAAAATTATTTTCGGAATATTTGTTTGTTTTTATTTTTGCAAAATACACTCCATTTATATTGTTTTCAGAAAGTGTATAAATTATGTTAATTTGTGATATTGTTAATGCTTTTTGGTAATTCCTGTAAATAGTTATTGTTTCTGGTGTGGTGGTAACCTTCGTGTAGGTTTAACCTTTAAATTTTATGTAAAAAACTTTTTCTGGTATCTACATCCAAAACTTAACAATACTTTTAATATAGTGTGCTTAAATTTAAATATTTGATTGGCAATAAATTGAAGAGAGCTTTGATCTAGACTGCTTTTAATATTTATATTTGTCGTATTTTACAGGTTTAAACATTCAGAAGGGAAAGAATGGGAAGTATCAATGTGACAGTTGCAAGAAAGAATTCGTTTCGAAGTATAATTTAAAATATCATCAGAGGATTCACACTGGAGAAGGACTCTTGTCTTGCCAATACTGTAATCGTCAGTTTATCCATTTCAACAATCTACGGGACCACGTCAAGACTCACACCGGAGAGAAACCCTTTGCCTGTGGTCATTGCAAACAACGTTTTACACAAAAAGGAAATCTGATTCGACATCTCCGAATTCACACGGGGGAGAAGCCATTCTCTTGCGACCATTGCAAACGAAGTTTTACACTAAAACATCATCTGATAGAACATCTTCGTCTTCACACCGGAGAGAAATCCTTTATTTGTGATCATTGCCAACAACGGTTTGCACATAAAGGAAATCTGGTTGCACATCTTCGAATTCACACAGGGGAGAGGCCTTTCTCATGTGACCATTGCAAACGAAGTTTTACGCGAAAACATCATCTGATAGGACATCTTCGTCTTCACTCCGGAGAAAAGCCGTTTTCGTGTAATTATTGCTCAGAAAAGTTTCATTTTAAATGTTCTTTAAAGTATCATATTATTAAACATCATAATAGTAATGAATAATGACTTTTATGGAAATGATTTTAGTACATTTCTTCGAAAAATATGTAATACTCGTATTTTAGATTGTATTAAACATGAAACAAGAAGTTTCTAAACTGATTTTCTTCGTTTTGTAATTTTCATTTTGTGCATAAAACAATTGATTTATGTACCGAAAAAAATGGTTTTTAGAATAAATACAAATTTCATTGATTAAAAACTAATATAGTTATTTTTAGTTGTTTACATACGTGTCATTTTTTAGAGCGTATTAAGTGTATTTAGAAACATGACAAGTAATTGTGTTTGCACGAAGATCAATTATTGTCACTAGCTTTATTGGCAGATCCGAAAGAGATTAAAATAAGTGAATTTTATCGTAAACGTCATCTTTTTGAAATCATAAACAGTAAAAAAGTAAAAAAAAAACTTTTCATTTCAAAAATAGATATATTACACAGACAACCAACTTTTAAACGTTGTATACACATTAAAGTGAAATAAATAAAGAGTTAAACATTACGGGACATAACTTATTACGTGTCATTTTTGTTTCAGATAAATTTTACATTATATTGCATTAAAGTGATTTTGCCTTACGAACAATTTCAATTTCAGTGAAAATAAAAACTGATGGTAAAGAGTATACTTTCTAACAGTTTTAATAAAGTTATGAAATGCATAATAATGGTAAATAAACGTATAGATCTTTAACGCCAGTAACTTATTGCATACGTATTGTTTTAAAGTTTGTCACGTCCAAATAAAATTATTGAAATGCAAAAATTTTGAAAATAAGTCACGTCTGAATGCAAAAATTATTAGAAAATAATGTTAAAGTATCTTTATTCAATTTTCACTTTTCCTTCATTAGCAGGAAATGTATTTTCTCGTATCATTTTTCGCCATTACTTTAAATTAATATTCCGTAAACAGAAGCCGTACGAACTAATTATTTGTCTTGCGTTTTACGGGAAACAATTCGTCAGTTATTACACAAGTATTTCTATTGGTCGACTGTGGATCTGCAAATGACATCAATTGTTAGTTTCTAAATGAAATTAGATAATTTAAAACTAACGCTTCAGCCTGGAAATCTGTAAGAAGGAACGAATTCCTGTCAATTTTAATATACAAGAATATGTATTAATAAGTTTGAAATAAATCGATAAAGTGACATTAATCATACTACATTATGTGCAGTTCTTGCAGCCGCACTCATTAGTTTTCTTTCATTATTCTTTGATGGTGTTGGTAAATTCATTTGTTGTTTGTCACCTCATTCAATAACGCAATTGATGAATATGGCGTGAAAGAACGAATGGATGTAACAAACATGATTTTGCATAATGTGTATGGTTAAAAAAATACTGCAATCATTGAACATTTAATTCAGTTAACTTTTCAAAAAATTTAATGAATAATATTTTTCTTTAAAGTAAGAAAAAATGACATTGCTGTGGAAATAAAAAAAAAAACAGTTTGAATATTGAAAAATTGAGTGTGTGTATCGTAAACGTGTTTGCGGTATGTTCGCTTGTTTGAAAGAATGGTAAGTGGAGCGAGAAATACTGTAATATTCGAAATGCAACTGGGCAAAAATAAAGTTGTTGATTGGCTAATAATTTTGGAATTTGTGGATGTGATAATTCGTAGAAAATAACTGTTCCTAAACCGGGTTCATATTAAAAAATTTAGTTTGTTCTTTTAATATTTTTTTTCGTTTATCTCTCGAGACGTACGTACTTTTTAATACCCAAGAATTTCGATCTAAAAACTGTTTTTTTTTTCTTTCTCGATATCGCCAAATGCTTTCAATGGCAGAAATTCAGAAATTTTTCAAGTCATCGTTGAAATACCCTCTGCATCTGCTTTTCCCGTATTGGTCGAATTCTCTACTTTAATTCCTGCAGGACTATCGTTTCAAACTAATTCTTTCGTACTAATAGCATTTTCAAATTCAGAAAAATTTACGTTTACAGTACTTTAGATCATTTCAAATTTATAGATAGTTATCAATTTTTAAATTCCTCGCTAACTACTTTAACAGAAAATTTAAAAAATGCGAATTATAATTTTCCTATTTTTAATCAATTTTTCTATAATAACGAAAATAAAAATTTAATAAAAAGAAAAGAAATTTTTCCCTATTCTTAGTTTTAAAACGAAGATATTTTATACAAGAAATGTTTACCATCAAAAAAATATTTTTATAACGAATTATCTGGAGAAAATATTGGCGATGATGATTATGATCATGCAAAATTAATTTGGAAAAATTTCGTTGTAAAAATTTTAAAGATCATTTAAAATTATATCAATATGTTGACACTTTATTACTGGCCGATATATTTCAAAATTTTAGAAAGTTAAGTTTATAATATTATAATTTAGATCCAGTATATTTCATAATAGCACCAGACTTAACATGAAACTGTAGATCAAAAATGACAAAAATTCAACTCGAATTATTTAAAGATATTAATATGTATCTTTTTATTGAACGGGGGTCAGGGGGAAATCAGCCTAACTGGGAGGCATTCTGCTAGGGCAAATAACCTATAATCCCAAAAATCTATGATAAAATCAATGTCATAACTATATTATTTTAATAGATGCTAATAATCTCTATGGATTTGTAATCAGTTTTTATTTACCTGTAAATAATTTCAGATTGTTATCCGAGAATGAAATAAATGCTTTAGACATTTGTAATATTCCTGATAGGAATAATATAGGTTATATTATAGAGGTTGATTTAAGTTATCCACAGAATGTTCATGACAGACATAATAACCTAGCATTGGCTCCTGATCACGCGAATATTACATTTGATTTATTATCAAATTATCAAAAATCAGTATTAACTAAATTAAATTTAAAATATAATAATAAGAAGAAGAAGAAATTAATTCCGACTTTTTTTGACAAACAAAATTATGTAATTCATTATAGAAATTTAAAATTATCGATAAAAGTAGTGTAAGAATAATACTTAAAGTAAGTTTTACAGATTTAAAGATTATAATATTAAATTTAATTTTAAAAAAATTCTAAAAAAAAATAATATTTTAATGTATAAAAAAACTGCTGAAAATATTATATAAATGTTAAATTGTCGAAAATTTTTGAAATATAAAAATTTGATATTTTTTAGTTTTCAGAAACACTGGCGCAAACTAATTGGGTTTTCGACGTTCAGACTCATCCAAAAATTTGCCATCACAGAACAATTTGCTTATATGTTATGTAGATCTATTTGTAAACTTGAGTATTTTATTTTTCTTTAATCTAAATTTGAGTGAAATTATTCCGCAGAAAACTGAATGTTTCTTATCTGTTACACTTGCATTATAGTTACATGTTCTCTTCTATTCCGTAGTATATACCAAACTTAAAATATATTAGTAAAACTAGCAGTAAAAATGAATTGCGCATTTTCAAAGAACATTTTGTAACGAAACGCATCAGTGTCTTTGATAATTCGTCTTTGAATTACTGAGAATCCGAATCATCAACCTTTACATATTCTGATTGTATCCAAATCGCACATGAATGGTGTTTGTATGTGATAGTAGCCCCAAGTCTCCATTCGTGCACTATGGTGGTTGCGTCTCGATAGCTATAAGGGTGCGGGAGATATGGGCTTGAAAGTGGTTGAAAATGGAAAATTTTCTATATAGATTTTAAAAATTTTCGAATTCGAATTCGTATTCGAATTGGTTCGGTTATAGAACGATTGTAAACGTTCCAGAAAATTGATCAAATTGAAAATAGTTCGTTTGACTTGACGTAAAAATTTTCTAATTAGTCCCGAAAAACGAGGGACCTAATTCTTGCATTCTGTGAAAACGGGTAAGATTGGCTATAATGTAATTATCTTAATCTTCACTATCGTTAATTTTTGCCCACAAATAAAAACCCAGCGAAGCGGGTCCTTGCAGCTAGATTCTAGATTACTTAGAAAAACAGTGTCTTATATATATATATATATAACTATATTACATACAAATGTACGAACAAATAAAAACCCACCGAAGCGGGTCCTTGCAGCTAGTTTATAATAAAAATTCGAGTAATATTTAATGGAAACTTGTTTTATCAACTTAATTGACAACTACTGTAAAACATTTAAAACGTATTATTAATTTATAAGCCATGTTTAATTACGGTAGAGCATCGATTATCCGACTCAATTGCGGACTCAGGTTGGTCAGATAACCGAAAAGAAAGAAAAAAAATACATTATTAGTATAGTATATTAGGATATTAGTACATCCCATGTAATTAGTATATCGCTTTAACTAACCTCGCGTTGAATTTTCATCGATGTTTAGCCTAACAATTTTTTTTAAATAATAATCGTCGCTATTGTATCGTTAAAAATTATTTTTAAATTATTTTATTGCTTACGAAACAAACAACTACTCATAATTAGAAAATTAAGTCTCGTTTAAATACTGGCCTCTCTTCAATGGTCGAGCCGTTGATGTCAGCTAAAACACAGGCAAAAATTTAACAAAAATAATATTAAAGTAGCCAAGACATAGCCAAATATTGTAATGCCACATCATTAGCGGACATTTGAAATTTGCCGACTAGAACGATCGGTTAACCGATGTAACGGTTAATCAGGGGTCGGATAAACGATGCTTTATTGTATAATTAATAGTACATAACAATTACTTGTTAAAAGTGCTACCATTATATAATGCTTTAAGAAAACTTTTTATTGTTCTCTCAGTCGTGAATTTAAAGCTACAAATACTGAGCACATTAATACATTCGAAACTGTAGTTAATCTTTACTTATGTAACATAGGTGATTGCTATTAACTATATTAAAAGCTGTTAGCTAAGTGCAATTTTTTTACGTTTTCAGTATAAAATACATAGTCAATAGTTCTACCTCATTATTTATTGACACTAAAATTATTAATTGTCTTCTACAGTGTGGAAAATGATTAAATTTGATTGTGCTGAAGATTATTTTCGATAAGTTTTGAAAAGTTTAAGTTCCAAAAATGAGTCAAAAATGAAACATTTTTGTATAAAAACAGAACACGCAAATGAGCTAAAGTTCAACAGCAAAGCCATTTTTTCAAAGACTGCTTGCATTTCCAAATAAATTGATCACAATCTGATTTATGAACACCATAAGTAGGTTATTGTCTT